ACCTCACATTTGCTCCATATATCGTAATTAGGAGTTGAGCAGTTTGCAATTAAAGTTGCACTATTTGAATTTCGAGGCGGCCACCAACAATATGGCAAATCATCCTCTTCAAAAAGCCAGGCAGTAGGAATTTCAGAAAACGTGTTATCTGACATGAATTCAACTACTGCATAATTCTTTATGTTCTGTGTATTATCCGATTCCATTTGACTAGCAATGATAATTAATGAGTAATTTTTTAAAATTGACTATATAATAGCGAATTTAGTTGAATGGCTAGTGCGCATTCATACACATTAAAGCCGTTATATACTAATCTTTAAATGCAAAAGTGAAACATCTCAATTGATAAAAGTCCTATGCATATTTTACCAAATAGTACAATAAACTGTATTAAGGATTTCGCGGTTTAACTTATTTATGTATTTTAATTAAATATATATATACATCTTTATTTTTATATATTTCTTGATTTATATATGTACAGCTTTAATGTGCACTAAGTGCGCACTAGTGCATCCAATCGAATTTACTATAACGTTTAACATCGCACGAGAATTTTATAATATATAAAGTATTACTAACAATATGTATAAAGTATATTGAATTATACTCACTAGCCGTCCTTAGTTGAATTGCGATTAATGATACTTATGTCAAAGACGAAAATTCAGAGAAATATTAATATTTTGAATTAATTCTGAAAATTGATAATAATGAAATTCATAAATCATCTAATCCTTAAAAATGCTACTAGTTATTGGTATGTAAAAGCGGTATTATCACAGACGAATTTCTGTCATCGAAAAATTTCAGATTTACACACTTTCTTTGTATTTGTATCGCTGGAATTTTAATGACATCGAAAGAATTAATATTTGGTATCACAAATATACCAAGCTTTTCCGAAGAACACGGTTTAATAAATAGAGATTCAAGATTTAAAAATCGTTTTGCATATATAAGTGCAATTCCATTTTCTTCTAAAATTTCTAAAATAAAAATCACAGACATGTCATGCAATAAAGCATAATTATCTGTTTTGTTGACAATAATTTTAAAAAATTCAAATTGTAGATAAGAAATTTCATTGTTTTTTCTATAAATGACAATTGGATATTTTTTCATGCAACATGGTTGAATTGCAAGCTTAAATTCTTCAAATATACGATTTGCTAATTCCTCGAAAGGTTTTCCTGATTAATGTAATTTTTTTTTTATTTTTTACATATAATTTTCATACTTGAAACAACTGAAATTATCTAAAGAACCGAAATTGTCTACATCTTTAGTAAGATGAATGAGATTATGAACATTATATGAGAGATACTCTTCACCATAAATATTCCCATAATTCGAAACAAAATACAATAATAATAAATTCGCATAGTCATTGGATGTTACGCACAGTTGTGGATCAATCAGTATTCTTATAGCAACACTAAGACAAAGAAAGTGATCATAACAAATTGGAGATAATATGGACTTCATAACAACAATTCCAGTATAAAGTAGAAACTGACGTAATTCTGTAGCTTTCCATCTGTCAATGTCTTGTATAACTCTAGGTTTTCTTGCAAATTCCAATGGAATATA